TCTCTAAACAGTCCCTACATTCAAATTTCCCTCCTAACTCCCTAACAAAACCTCACGCACGCCTGGGCGTGCGTTCGGCGGGTATAGGAGGCGAAAATATCTGCCTCTGTTCGCGTAAGCTAGTCCCGTTGGACCGGTCCAACCGTCCAATGGACTGATCTTACAGAAGCCGTTACAAAAGAAAAATACAACACAACTCAAATTCTGCATAAAACAAAATAACCCTAAACTTCCCCTTAAAAAAGCTCTCCCACCTCCTTATACCCCTTTCCTAATATATTTTCCTTCAAATTCTCACCTCCTTAGCCCCTTTTCCCCTTTTCTTACTCTACACGACTTATAATTTTGTGAAAGCTCTTAAGATGATATGATACATTTTCAATAACAGAAGCTTGCTATAGGTGGGAGGTCATGTTGGGGAACTCCTCACATAGAAGGATAAAAGGTGTGAAACACCTTAAGTAAAAAGAAGTTAAACTCTTAAACATAGAGGCACATTTTAGTGTAATGGTTGAAATTTCATTAAGAAACTCAATAGTTAAGCGTGCATGTCTTGGAGAAATCTTGGGATGAGTGACCTCCTGGGAAATTACACAAACAAGACAAAACTGTGAGGCCCTTGGGCGAAAGCTGACAATATCTCGATAGTTAAGAGTTTGAGATGTTACAAATGGAATCAGAGCAATACATCAGTCGGAAGATAGGAATTAAGTGTCATACAAGACAAAGTGCTACGCCATGTGAGCAATCTTTTGAATCCTGTATAGGACAAAGTGCTACATGGTCGGAGTCACCAATTGAACTTGTAGGGATCACCTCTATGTTTCTATCTGTATGGTGGATGGTTTCAAGATAAAGATACTGACGGGGACGTCAGATACTTAAGTGGGTGAGATTTTGAAACCTCTTAAGTAAAAAGAAACTAAACACTTCAACATCGAAGCACCTTTTGATGTGATGGTTGAAATTTCATTAAGAAACTCCATAGTTGAACGTACTCATCCTGGAGAAATCCTGGGATGGGCGACCTCTTGGAAAGTTACTCTAACAAGACAAAACCATGAGGCCCTTGGGCCAAAGTGGAGAATATCTCGATAGTTAAGAATTTTGATATGTTATAAAAGAGATGGTCCACATATGAGCTCGCATGGACTGTAAGAAGCTGGTAGTGTGGGCTTGTATGTGCACAACGTTGTGTAGTAATGGTCCTTGACCTAGCCCTAACGAAGGCGAGCTTGAGCAAGGATGACCGAACTCAAAAAAAAAAAAAAAAAAAGGAAAAAGATGATGACCCAACTCACCATTTTGGTGATCTCACAAGCACACATGCTCTAGTGGTCGGAGCTAAAGCCTTCTTATATATAGAGGTATTTTCATCTCGTTTAGAAGTGTGTTGAAATCGGAATATCGGGTTTTCATTGTGAAGGTTTAAGTCACAGAGCTAGCGAGGACTATTTGCTAGTTAGACCATTGCTGATTGCTTCTCCAGTAGTTGATTAAGTTATGAAGTACCTCAATATGTATTTTTATTTCTTCTTAATTTCAAAGCATGAGAGAATGGTGATTTGATTGTCCTACAATCCAAAACCCTGGTTTTATTATCATTCCAGAATAAATTGGTCGTAGGACTTCTAATATATATATATATATATAGTCAAACTATTTCAATAGAAAATGCTAAGGCTTCTAAGAAAATCAACCGTTAAAAATATGGACCTATGAGAAATGCCTCCTTGACTTCTAGGATTAAATGTAATTATATTATTTACTTGCTTAGCAGATTGTAGATTTCTCATTTTATTGGCGTGTTCATTGCTTGGTTCCAGTTTTGTTGTGACTGTGGAAGTAAATGATTTAGGACTGTAATTCTTCAACTTCTTTTTAAGTTAACTCTTAAAATTCATTACAGAATTATAGCATAAATCCAAAGATTAGCTGTATCAGTTGATAGTGTTAGCATGTATAGACATATTTCTGTAATTTATGCTTTTTCTGGGAGAGAAATTGGGTCAGGATAAACCTAGTCCTTGTGAAATCAATGATGGAACCCTTACTTTAACAGCAAGCCCAGCCTGGCTTGTTGGCCCTACCTGTAAGTCAGGCATCATTGATTGCTTTTGGCTAAATATAATAGAGTAGCTATCGTGTCCATATGTTAGTTATTTTTCATGATTCCTTCAATATTTGTCCGAACTTTGGAGTACTCGATAACAAGTTTATTAGTTTGCTACATTTTAAGTTTATTTCGAACTTCTTGCATGCATGCATGATAGGTTATTGAGATGTTATTTTAACATTGCGAAGCTAAAAAAAAAAAGGCAATAACAAATGTGCCAAATTATGCTATGGCAGATGTTCTTGTGGAGACTTTTTACTAATTCGTTGGCTCCTTTTGAATCCTGTATTGTCTGTAGGAGATAAAAGAGAGAAAAAAAAAAATGAAAGAAATAGAAAGAGAGGATTTAAGGATTTTATTATGAAGCTCATCTTGATTTGTTGTTTGGGAGTTTTGGCTATCAAATAAAAGGTCATAGTTTGAAGCTTGCTTATATGATGTGTTTGTGAGTTTGTCTTAGTTAGCCTAAATGTCTTAAAAAAGTGCTTCTAGATGACTTCCTTTGAAATTGTGTTGTGATCCTTTATATATATATATATATATATAATTAACATGTGGAGTAGGCCTTCAGAGTGAAGAGTGGTGAGTAGGCCTGTTGAGTGGGCTCGCCGAGTGACAATTAAATAGTGGACATGTTGAATGACCAATGACTAATTAATTTACAAAATTTTGGGCTAATATATATGAATAATTAACGATGGACAATCACTAGTCGAATGGGCCGATCAAGTGACGAGTGGTGAGTGGGCCTTCAAAGTGAAGAGTGGTGAGTGGGCCTTCAGAGTGAAGAGTGGCAAGTGGGCTTGTTTAGTGATGAGTGGGCTCGCCGAGTGACAATTAAATAGTGGACATGCTGAATGACCAATGACTAATTAGCCTATTGAGTGAAGAATGGCAAGTAAACCTTTTGAGTGAAGAGTGACGAATGGGCCAGCCAAGCAACGAGTTGCGAGTGGGCCCGTCAAGTAAAAAGTATGAAATGATGAGTGGGCCTGCCGAGGAATGCATGAGTGATGAGCGGCAAGTGGGTGCGTCGAGTGGTTAGTGTAGATTGGGCCGGCCGAGTGATGAGTTCTGAATTTGCTCGTTGTGTGACAAGCAGCATTTGGGTTCATGAGTATGACAAGTTCACTATGAACCTAACAAGGTCGTAACAAATTAGGAAAGTTTCCGAAGAGTTGCTAGAGTCTCCCTAGAATTCATGGACAGTGCAACTTGGAACTAGACAAAATGACCCTCAATTCTTGAGGGGTGCACCTTGATCTTCAACAAACACACTTGTAATCTTTCTTCTACCGAGATAGATTGAGCTAAACCTTTGGCATATTCAGATATATACCCTTCATTTTTTCCACAATATTATCTCTAAAAAAATATATTGATTTACCATGAAAGGCTTGTAGTAAATGACTAACAATATCTAAAGAGAAATTAAAAAACTCTGTTAAATTTTACAGGATTTTCACTCTAAGAAAAAATACGTCACTCTTTTACTGTACCGTAATTCGATACCACGGCTCGATATAGCTCGATTCTGAGACTTGATACCGTTCGATACATCCGAAGAGCTATGTCCCATTTCTCCGCTCTAAGAGTGCCATAGGATATCTCTTTGATGAATCTTGCTTGTTGCATGGACTATACTTCCCGTACAGCAGAGATGCTGTAATTCATCCAGAAATGTCCTTGCTGCAATAAAAGCACTAGGAAACAAGCTCTAGTCTAGGCTCAGGACAGGTTGTTATGATTGATATCTTTTCCTTTGACATCTAATGAGAGAATTTATAATTGCCGATACTTCGAAATATTACTGGTTTTGACTTCTTGAATGTAAGAAAAATTGTGTATTTGTAACTTTGAAAGCAAGAGAGATTTGTAAATGTGGAAATTTTGGATTAAATGCGGATTTTCCAAATTTTGAAAAGTATATTATTGCAAAAAAAATAAAAATTTATGAAATTTTCAACGTTTATTTTAGTAATTTCTTATATGATTTTTGTCACTCAATGCTGTTCATCTTATTTAAAAGACCAAACAATTGGAGGACAAAATGTTGAAAAATATAATGAAGGTTTCAACATGACATTTTTTTTTACTCTTAGAGCATCTCCAGCCGAAAAACTCAATTTTCATTCTAAAATGCTATTAAACTTTAAAATGTTATAATTCATCTCTAATATAATTGCATTTCTTTATGCTTTCGCGTGCTTCCTACGAAGGTAACAATCTCTCTCATCTTTTGCGCTCGTCTTCAGCAAATTCATCAACCTAATATTTCGACGTAGGTGAACAATCCGACGCCAATATTAGCGTCATAATGTTCACATATCGAATTTTAATATGAGATTTGAAGTTCAAATGTAGCGAATGATGGACAAAATACGATGGTATGCAATTCGACTGAAGATATTTTATATGCCTTGATTTAGCTGTTTTTTTTTTTTAAATCTATTGCCTTTTAAGCCCATAACTTTTTTATGATAATGTGATGCCTTCTAATTTTTTTCCAAAGAAAAGCAGCATATCATCTTGAAAAACTTAAAAAGAAAACTGATATTTAAAAACGAGCATAATCAAATGACCAAAAAAAATGGTAACTGAAAAAATGACCAGGAGTGAAATGACATGTTTGTCCTCCCTTCCATTGTACCTGCATTTTCACAGAATCGAAGTCTTTGAATAAATTAGGCTCAATATCAACGCCAGTTTTCAATATTCTGTCATTTCTCAAATCAAAGATACCTCTCTTACAAAACCTAGACAAAGAATTAACCAAAAAAGGCCTATAAATTGATGAGAATTGCTCGCATTAATACATTCCTTAGTATCTTCTGCTCACATCTGATGATCATTAAGTGCCAAAGTCATACCTCTCACTTAAAACTCAAGGATTGAAGATGAATTTTCCACACTTACACTTCCAGTTCATGGGTTTGTAATTGGAGCTTTCATCTCCTCTTCCATTAATGTTCACGTTAGAATGCCCTACAGATTTTCTCTCCTGCGGAGTTGCAGGAACTTGAACTGCCTCACAGGGGCCGCAGTTAAGACAAATCCCTTTGCACCTCGGCGGTCTCGAACCAATCATGAAACTCTCCTTCACCATCCCATTGCCTTCATCCTCCTGCAATTCAACCGTTTACCTTCAAAAAGCTCGAACAAACTCTAAAAAAAATGGCTATCCCAAAAAGAAGATGATATTAAGTATATCTATCAATAAACTTCACCTTGCTAAGTTCCTTTTGCATGAACATAGATCTACCTGCATTGCAACCATTCTTATTAGTTATTACCATGTGTAATAGATTATTAACTTATTCAAATAAGGCTCTTACCTTGAGCAAAAAATCTCTCTTGATTCGCTGTGGCTAATAGGAGAAACAACACAGAGAGCTGAACATTTATTACCCTACTTCTCCTTATGGTGTAGTAGAAACAGATCATCATTTGCTGAAGTGAAAGTAAAAACAGAAAGTGATTGCTTTCAAAACCAAAGGATGAAGAAGAAGGAAGTAAGAGAAGAGGGATTAAAGAGAAGAATAGAGGGAGGGAGGGAGGGTTTTGTGGCCAGGTGTGAGGATTTCTCAGAATCAGACATTAGAGAACAGCTGTAAGCTTTCAATATCTACTCTTTCCTTCCATTCTTGGCTGTCACCATTTATTACTGGTGATTCTTACTTTGTTTCCTTACTCGAAGCTTTGCTTTGCTTTTCTTTTTTGGTGGTTACTGATCTGATACTGACACAGATCTCTTGCTTGTGAGGTGGTCACCATTCTATGATCAAAATGTTAGGCTGAGGCTGTCACATGAGATTGTCGAGACTTGTGTTGGTAGTTTTAAGGTGGTTTCTATTCTCATGAAATGACTTGTATTGCAGTGCTTCCTCTTGAAAGACGCAGAAGCATTCATTTGTTTGAAAAACATTTCTCAGGAAAGAGGAAGTTAAACTCCAGTGCTTTGTTACAAGGAAAATTAATGACCATGTGACTACAAATATTTTTATGCGATCAAACGCTTCTTCTTCTCTAGCCAATTGGTGGAAATAAATTTTAAATTTTTGGTAAGACAGATTTGAGCACAACAACAACAATAACATCAAACTTTTGTCGCACTACGTGGGGTCGGCTACATGAATCATTTTTCTTCATTGTGTCATGATAAAAGTTAAATAAAAACTTAACCGATTTCATCATGAAGAGTACACCGGCATAATTTTTTTATATTAATAAAGAAATAATTATTATATTAAAGTAAATAATGATAAATATATATTTACTTTTTAATACAATATTTAATAATATGTTGAGAATATTAATTTTCAAGAAAATATTTATATACAAATATTCTAATATATTTTATATTCAGATGGAATTATATCTCCCCACATCTAAACTCATTGATAATAATACAAAATTATCAGAAAAAATAATTAAATTATTAGATAATAAAATAAATTTATTAGATTTAAACGATAATTTGATTTTTAATAGGACACAATGGAGAAAAAGGATTCATGTAGCCGACCCCACGTAGTGGGATAAAGGCTTGATGTGTCGTTTGTTGTTGTATAATAAAATAAATTATCAGATATTTATTGCATATTTTTCTATAGTAATTACCTTAGTTGTTAATACTAATAATGCAAATTTATTTATTTAATAATTTAATTATATTGAAAAAAAATAATGTGATAAAATAATATCACTGGACATTTAACTCTTCAAAATTGGAAAAAGTGATTAAGAAATAAAGCTTCCACGTGAAATGACAGAAACAGAAGCAATATGTCGGATAGATAATTGCTATCTGCTTATCTTCAAGAACTTATTCATTTATTGTTATCTTCTAAAGCTTACACAAATTATTATAAAAGTAATTTTCTCTTGACCTGCCAGAATTCAAAACAAGATGATGTTGGAGGGTTGCTATGCTAAAAATATAATATCTTTTTGTAAATTAAATTTTGCATGTAAATTTAGATCTTTTATGTCCTTCCTTTGTAATATTAGCTCGAATTTATTTTGCATGTATGGCCATTTTATTTGAATACTAGATCATGTTCACTTGCTATTAAGCTTCATAACAAACATCTTAAATTACAAAAGCTAAATAATTAATTAAAGTTTATTTGATACAAATTTAAATTAATTTTCACCAACTTAAAATTGATATAAATCAAAATTAAAAGGCATTTCTTTTTTTTTTTTTAAATTAAAAGCGAAAGGCTGTCTTTCCATGAATTACTTATTTAGCATTTTCCGGGCCCCAAATTAGGCTTGTAGTTGGACAAGAGAGGGCACACCAAATTGATGGCCCATTAGGAAAGAAAAGTGCATAATGGGGCGCATCAAATACGTATCAAAGGAATGGTAGTGAAAAGAGCTTTTATAAAGAACTTTTATTCTATCCAGAGAACGTACGCAGAGGAAGGTTCAGTTTTAGGCAAAAAAAGTGCATGTACCGAGTTTTTCGTGATTGTACCGAGTTTTTTTCTCGGTACAGGCGCTTTTTTGCCTAAAACCGAACCTTCCTCTGCGTACGTTTACTGGATAAAATAAAAGTTCCATTGATATAAATCAAAATTAAAAGGCATTTCTATATTTTTTTTAAAAAAATTAAAAGCGAAAGGCTCTCTTTCCATGAATTACTTATTTAACATTTTTCGGGCCGCAAATTGGGCTTGCAGTTGGACAAGAGAGGGCACGCCAAATTGATGGCCCATTAAGAAAGAAAAGTGCATAATGGGGCGCATCAAATACGTATCAAAGGAATGGTAGTGAAAAGAGCTTTTATAAGATGGTTCATTGTCTCAGGCAAAGAATTCTCATTATCATCAATATTACCACTTTGAATATGGATTATTTGCCCATAATATATCATCATGATGATCCTTTATTTAAAGGTTATAAGAAGTATGTCCTATTTAATGATATAATAATTAAAATTTAACATAAAATTATGACATTCTTTTAGTGATTTTAGTTGTCCTTCTTATTGGTTTTGTATTGTCATAATAATGATTTTATAGACTGATCATCTTATCGATATTGTGGTTGTTTTTCATATGGATTGTGATTGGTCTTTGATTCTCCATGTTACTATTAATTCTATAATATATATTATTTATCTAGGGCTATATTTTCATGATAATTTGCATCAAAAGTAGTTATTGAACTTCTAAAAATGAATTTTTTTTGGGCAAGAACTTATTGCACGGGCTTCATACTTCCATGGTTTATAGACTATTTAATATACTATATTTAGAGTGCTTTTCATATAAATTATTTATGGTCTACACATCTCCATTTCTTTAATTCTAAGATCTATATTATTTTTCTAGGATTGGTGTTTTTGACTCTTGATAAGTGGTATATCAACTTGTTTCTTAATTTCAGGAGAATATTTTTTTTGGGGAGCATACTGAGGTCTATGATACACGGGCTTCAAATTTTCATGATAGTGGACACACATGATATTCTTTTGAAATTTTACAAAACTAGTTATTTGAATTAAAGATCATACACTATCTCTTTTACTCATACGTTGAAGGGTTGTCTTCAATTTTCTTATTGATCAGCATTACTCTAGCAGACTAATAATACGTAACATGCATATATATATTCATATATGCCTTCTCGGTGCTTCACATGTATTTAAAGGAGATATCCACCACCGACAAATTTGAATTCATCAATACACACAAATTTTTGACAGTGTATTTATTATATCTCAATGAATCGACTATAATATAATTTTTATTTCCCCTCTTTTGTAATTTTGGTTTACATTTTACTTATGATAATTTTATTTATAGACTTTCCTAATTTACAATTTTGCATGATTGATAGATGAGCTACATCATCATTCGTTGGAAATTTGATCTGAAATATTGCCTGGCACGTGTTGGATTAAAGGCTTTTTAAATATTCTTTTTGGCCATAACTTGTACAAAAAAACATATTCCTCATTCTTTATAAGAACTTTGTGTAGTTCGGTTATTAATGATTAGAATACAAAGGCAGCTGAAAAAAATATTCCTTATTCTTTATAAGAATACATAGCCTCTCCTGTTTTCCTCTCATCTTCCTCATGTACCACAGTACCAGTTTGTTCAAGTTCTTCAAGAAAGTGAGCGAGTTTAAGAATCTGATTAAAAAAAAATGATGATTTAGGCTTCATTTGGGACGGCTTTTTTACTGTTTCTTAAAGCAATTTTCTAGTACAAAACTTTTAACTTTTATACTAAAAAGTTGTTTTAAGAAGCATTAAGAAAGTCGTCCAAAAAAAACCTTAGGCTTTATTTAGGATGACTTTCTTATTGTTTCTTAAAACAACTTTTTAGTAAAAAAGTAAAATTTTTATTAAAAAATTACTTTAAAAAACAGAAAAAAAGCTATCTCAAATAAAATCTTAGCTAATAGATATGAAATGAAAGCAATTCTAACCAACTTCTTGTTACTCTATCCTCAATACTTTTAATATAAAACTTGAAATATTTCATCCACTTATCAAAGAGAAAACAATCAGTGTTTCTTTTCAAAATATTAGGCTCTATTTGGACATTTTTTAATTACTTTTTAAAACAATTTTATAGTACAAAAATTTTAAATTAAAAAAAATTATATTAAAAACTATTTAGAAAACAATGAAAAAAAATATCCCAAACAAAATCTTAGAAAACCAAAAGAAAGCATACAGTAAAACTTCTCGGTTGTCTCAGAGAATTGGGCAAATTATTGCATCAGGTGACCTGACAGAGAGATGCGTTCGGGCTCTCTCTGTCTACAGTAACCTGTGCTTTACTGTAGCACTGCTACAGTAAAGCGCAGGTTACTGTAGCCAGAGAGAGACCGAACGCATCTCTGCGTTCGGTCACCTGACGCAATAATTTGCCCAGAGAATTGACTATCAGAATGGGTTGTAAGCATTAAAAATGTAGAGCAAAATCTGCCATTTTACAAAATTTCAATAGAGAATAATCTAAAATCATAGATACAACTTTAAACACAATGTCAAACTTTAGAAACAATAATTCTCCCACATATGCTTTGCTCATGAAGATGCATTACATCACAATAAACAAAAAGTAACATAGTGGAGACTTATATTAAACAAATAGCACCCAACCTTCTTCCAGAAAAGAGAGAAAAAAAAAGCATAATCAGCTTTCAAGAACTGAGAATTTAAGCTGCTGCACTTCATTCAGAAATTCACTTTCCAAGCATCCATATAACTAAGCAAAGGAACACTAATTCTTTGACCTCCTTTAACAGGTTATGGTCCAAACCGATAATTTCCATCAGCTAAGAACTGGCCTCCCATATAAAGAGCAGCAGCGTTCTGTGGATGAAAAGAATCCATAACCACAAACTGCATATCTTCTGATGGCTTCCAATGCCTTTTCCTCTGGTTGATAAACCAGTTGTTGATCTGCTTCTGATCGAGACCCGTGGATTCTGACAGAGCTACTTTCTCAGTCTCCTGATCGTTCAAAACCACAAAGAATTGAAGATGAAAACAATGTAACGAAATATGATAATATTTCTTGTTTGTGTAAGAACATTAATACTATACCGATGGATATGGCCATTTGTAGTGTAATTCCCACCAGTTGAGAAGCTTTTGCCTGGCATCCTTTGGTAGCTTTCCTTTCTTCTTTTTCTTAGACAATTCTTGCCTCAGGCTGCTGAGATATCCACTGTACTTCTTGAGGAGATGAAGCTTTAGTTCTTTGTCTTCAGCTCGAGGGTCAATCTCAGGAACTTCTGCTTCTGCTCCACTGCCATCTTGATCTTCTTCTGACGAAACGACTCCTTCGCATTTCTCATCTGCTACATTTAGATATAAAGAGAATGAATGCAAGATAAAATAGTTGAGGGTGAAATCAAACAAATTAACAGACCTTAGGAGTTTATTTTTGTAACGATACTTACTGAAAGTAACTAACATAGGAACCTTATGGTTGCTTTGTTTATTTTTGTTGAATAAGAAATTATTAACATGTCGATTTGGATCCTATCATTGGTGCTTTTGTTGCATCTCATCCTTCCTTCATACTCCGCAATGATCTAACATGATCTCCACCATAGTAATCCTCTCCATCCACTCATCCAAGAATCCGCTAAGCTAATGTTCGTCATCATTTGTCCATGGCCATCCTCCATCGACTTCTCAAGATTGCGCAAAAGATTCTACTACCTTCGTCCATTTACACTCCCATTCTGGCAACCTTCATTTTTGGATCAGTATTTAAAGCTAGTGATTTAGATTTGTAAATTCATATATACCTCTTTCCAGAGAGAAAGAATGTGCTTTTCATCTTGTTATGTGTTAGAAAATTTATAGCGCTAGAGAGGGAGTTTGATGTCTTAATGTTTTACAAAAATATAACATGCAAAGAAAAAGTTTTAGGAGACAATTTTTTGCATGAAAAACCAAGAAAGAAGAAAAAACATGGGGCCCAAATCTTGCAATAATCCACTATAAGAATTGAAGAAGGGGTTATATTATTCTTGTTGTAGAGATTACAAAATTCAAATGTCAAATAATAGGGTTAGATCTTGATCGGAGATCGGATATGGTGGCAGCAATTAGTGGTGATGATAATCGACGGTGTAGAAAATAGAGTAGAAGGAGTGCAAATGTTCATCTCATTTCATATTTTTCACCTGCCTATAGTGTGAGTGTGTGCGCCTTTACACGTGAACACATATGATTACCAGTTTGTTACAGAGGTGAGAGAAGAATCAATTTTGTTGTGATTGTGTCCTTGTTGAGGTCGTGTGTGTTGATGCTTTATGCCCCCGGAATGTAATGGTCCTGGTTGGACTGTCAGATTGTTGCGAAGAAGATTGAAGCGAGCTATAGGGAGAGATTTGGTGAGAATGTCAGCTATTTGATTCTTTGTGCTAATCGAAACTATGCGAATCGTATTGGAATGGATATGATGGCGAATGAAGTGATGATTGATCATGATGTGCTTCATCCTGGCATGAAAGACCGGGTTTTTGGCTAAAGCTATCGCATATGTATTATCACAATGGAGATCTGGTGGAATACTGAAGAGGTATGTGAAAATATTGAAGGAGCTGACAAAGCCAGATTATTTCGTTAATGGCTGTTGCAAGAGCTATGTATTCCGCTTATGTGGAGGATTTAACAATCATCTGTTGCTTCTTAACGCTCCAGGATAGAAGTGTGTTGCCCAGAAAAGTACAGTAGCCTGAAGTTGATTTCCTAGTGGATGGATCGCCTGCCCAATCCGCGTCTGAGTAGGATTTGAGAAACCACAGGAAATTGGAAGACCAAAATGCAAAGTTCCTTTGAGATAGCGTAGCATCTGTTTGAGTAGGTAGGCAAGAGTGGGATGTGGTTGATGCATATGTTGACATAGAAGATTAACAGGGTATGCCAAGGCGGATCTAGTTATGACTAGGTACTATAAAGAACTTGTTAGCTGACGGTAAGTATGAGGATAAATCTGTGGGAATAATTGTAGGTAATTTGGTACACGAGGGATTGGCTATAGGTTTACAGGAGAGCATTCCTGCGGTGTTGAGGATAGATGTCTTCAATGCTTGATAGGAAGGTGGAAGCCCATTAAGTGTGTAAAGTATGATGACCTCTCATCAATGGTAGATCCAACTACAACAGTCTTGTCAACTATGGTTTTAATTTTGGTGAGATACTAAGTCATGTTGAGTTGTTTTATGGTAACATTGTGTAATTCATCCTTGGTTTGGATAACTCTAGATCTATTGGAAGATTGTAATCTTTTTCTATGGTAAGCAAAATGGTTGAACAGGACTCAAGATTCAAGATGTATGGAAGGATGGATGGAGTTAAAGTAGAGCAGATAGCTGTTGTTAGATTCTGATCTATCATAATCCATTTTATATATTTGGGATTAATGAGAGTTATACTATCAGAGAACTAGGTCAGTCGGGGTGGTGGAGCGGCTGTGGATTCAAGAAACCCAGCAAACCCATTCGCGTGAAGTAGCTTCAGAAACTTGCTATCGCCACATGGGATAATTATCATTGGATAACTGGACTAGAACTATTGTTTTGATGTTTGCAATGACAAACTTGAGTGATGCTGGAATTTAAACATTGTTGATGAAGATTTCGGTAGAAGGATCCCCGACATGGAATGGAGAAGATTGGCCATATTCAATGTAGCTAGCTCTTACGTCTGCTCTGATACCATGTAGAAAATATAGTAGAAGGCCCGCAACTGTTCGTCTCATTTCATATTTGTCACCTACCTGTAGTGGTACATGCTATTGTATTTATACTAGTGTGAGTGTGTGTGCCTTTACACATGAACATATATGATTGTAGCAGTTTTTTTATAGAGGTGAGAGAAGGATCAATTAGGTTGCGATTGTGTCCTTGCTGAGGTCATGTTTGTTGATGCTTTTAGACGGTGACAACAAAAAATATATTAAAGAGCTCTTTAATTCTCTCAACTCTAAAATCCATTTTTTTGTAGAGGATGGGGCTCTATTTATAGCCCTATGAGATGGGGCATCTTAATAATTTGGCTAGAATCCAAAGCACTTCATCATATGGTCTATATTGATCTCGTTGATCATAGATTGATTATTAAGCATTTGAATGATTTAATGATCTTTGAATCGAGTGATCTTGAGCTTGTTCTATTCATCTTGTCAAGCCCCTCAATTTTATTATAAGCATGCTATAATTGGAAGTCAATTAGTGAGTCAATTTATATTTAGGAGTTCTTAAACATAATTTAAGAGTTTGATTTGAGCTCATTTGGATTCTGATCGAATCATTAAAAGCATCCATAAGTTCATCTCGTCGAGTAGTCAATTCGACTATAAATTTGTTGAAATCACAGTTCTAATGATCCCAAATTTAATTCCTAAGGTTTTCAATTCAAATATTGCCCATAAATTCGTGTTGATCAACTTGAAATGCTCATTTAAAATATGGGATCCTCTCATTGAGATGGTGCAATGACAGCACTAATGACAATATTAGCACCGACTAAAAGAATGATTAAATTCTGAACTTACAATGTTACTAATTAATTTAAACTTTAGCTATATTTTACTTCAAACTTCCTTATAAATCATTTCACCAACAAAATAATCGCACAATAAACATACTAATTTGGTTGCATATTCTTAGCAAGGACTTCGGCAGCTCGTAGTTTTGCTCAAATTGAAAAAAAAAACAAGAAAAAAAATATGACTGTACACTTAAAAATATAGAAATTATAAATATCACAGCTAAATTACTAAGAGTAAACTAAACAAGTAAAACATTGCAATATGCTGAATGTGAGACCAGTGATGTTAGAAAAGCTTAAGCTGTGCATGAAATTTTCATTTAAAAGATGAAAACAACTCAAACAAAAATATTTTGATTGATAATGACAAAAATAACATCATAACACCAAAAGGTTTTAGAAAGAAATTTGCACGAAGGAGAAGCAATTAGTAAACAAGTAAAACATTGAAACAAACTGATATGACATCAATGATTTTAGATCAAGATAGAACATCTAAACAGTCTTGCATCATGAAGAACAATGACTTGGTTTGAAAAACATAAAATTCTATGGAAATGAAGGTCTTCAGATGCATACAACATAGAAAAAAATCTTGTAATATGTACATAATAGCATTATTCAATGCAATAATCTTTCGAAAACTGAATTCTACACATTGGAATCACCTAAACCATTGAAAGTTGATTCTCCTTATATAAAATTTGGACTGTTGTCGACTTCTTTGATGGCTATGTCTAACATAAGTTCAGCGCTATCCTTCCAAGTTTGGCAGTGAGCCTCTCTCCCTTCCGCATCCATTCATGACTTTGTTATATATTGATGAAGTTTTTAGCCTATAAAGTCATATACATTAATTTTTTAGATGTTTTTACATACCTACCACTTAAAACTACTTTATTAATTTACGTAACTAACACCCAAATTCATTATTTACTATTCTACCATCTAAAAACCCTTGCCCTAATCAAAACTAGCACTCTGTTACCTCCTGTCAAACCAAAACCCCGACCCTCTCTTTCCGAAATGTCTGCTTTGCCTTCATCACGTCTTCCTCGCTCGGCCGGCTCATCGATTTGCTCGGCTAGGTATGTTCTTCTCCATTTCAGGTGGCAGAATAGTAAATAGTGAAGTTTGGGCATTAGATAAGTAAATAGAGTAGTTTTAAGTATTAGGTATGTAAAAACCCCTTCAATTTATATGTTAAATTGTCCTCCAGTGAACAGTTATCTTCGAAATTTGATTAAATTTTAGTTCATTATTATGATATGTTTTGTTATATTAAAATACTAGTAAAAAAACTTAAAACAATCAATATCAGTTCCAAGTCCAAATAAAAAAGATCGAGTCTTTTTAAATTCATCAATTTATATCCCTACTAAGACTCGTTTATGATAGCTTTCGTACTGTTTTTTAAAACGATTTTTTAGTACAAAAATTTTAAATTCACAAAGAACAACCTTCTAGCATGCCATGTATCACATATAAGAAGGTGAAAAAATATCACAGCTACAAGTTTATGTTGCTGCATGATGATCTATACGAACCACTGCAAAATATAGGAACATCAAGGGGACATTACATTTTTTACCTCCCGAAGTTATCCATATGAGCATATAAATATCCTATATTTTGAAGAGTATATTTCACCACCATTTACTTTTCACCAAAGTGTTAGGAGCCTACTAGCAATGCTCTGTGACCTCATGGCGAGGGCGTTGAAAGAGGTTTGTAACTACTCTAAATAACGTTGATGAGACAGATGAAGGAAAATGGCATAGAGGAAGAAGTT